TCTTTTAATTGGTTTGCCTTCATTTTTGGGTGCTTCATCTTGAAGTGGCCAGGACATGATCAGAATTAGTGAGAAGTTATAGTTTTGAACTTGCACTGAGCAGTGAGCCAAGATACGGCATAGATAATTTGGAGATACCAGGCACAGGCAAGCCAAACACTTGCAGATACCCCTAGCCCTGTGATTCCGTGGAGGCTGTATCCAGGAATATGGACAGAAATGCAAGTCATAGCATGGGTTCAGTGTGCTTGTACCTGTTGCCCTGCTACGATGTTGAAACAAACCCTGAGAAGGTGGCATTGCTTTCTCCCCCAAATGAGTCACACCTGAGCTGTGTGCTATGTCCAAACTCTGTGGCTTCATGAGGATTTTGACAGAGGAGGCAGAGCTCTCTCTCTCTCAGTTCAAGGAGGTGAACTTACCCTTTATCTTTGCTGAATGCTTAACCTTTTAAATATTATATGAAAGAGGTAAGAAAAGCTCTTGAAATAAACAGCACAAAAGAAAAATTCCAAATCTGACAAAACAGACTGGCCAGAAGAGCCACATGCCAAGGAGCTAATAATGAAATCCTTAGTGTATACAAAGTATAAAATATATTAATCCTTTGATATTTTTCTCTAGTTTACTAGTAGGAGGGAAAAGAGTTGTTTGATGAGACATTTCAGATGTTTCAAATAGCAAATGAATATAAAATTGGACATTCTATGTATTAAAATAACAGTAACTGTAGTCACAATGTGTTGTTACAGTTACAAAACCTACAACTTATCATGAAGAAAGGGAAAGGGTTATTATTCCATTTGAGCTTAGAATACATTTTAGTTGTTTTGCAGTAACTGCAAACATAATTAGAAACACGTGTTAGCTACATCGTTTCTCCAAAATGCAGAGATCCTAGGCACTGCTGAAATTGAGTCTTTCCTAAGAAGCCTCAAGTGCTTCACTTAATAATGACTGTAAGTAACTGATGTTAAATGGTAATTTCTTGGTGGTGACTTTATTTATCTTCTGTGCTTATTTTGTGTGCTTTTTTTATCAAAAAACTGTGAAGAGTTAGACCAATATTCAGATTCCATCATCTATTTATGTTTAAGATTTGGCTGAATTTTATTCATTTCTGAAGAGTCCCTTAAGAACTTTAAGAGCCTTGAAATTTGAAATGGGAAATGTGCCTAGAGTTCTTATTTATATCATATTTGAGTTAGAGAAAACTTGTTCTGGAATTTCAGATGAGTTCCTTGCTGCATTTTTTTGAGCTGACTGTCAGAAAGAATTGAATATAATATGATAAAATGGAGAATGTCCACTCCAGTTAATGCAGAGTGAAGAGGTGTTAATAAAGTTAGGGCCAGATGTCACTAGTTTTGCTCACATGGATGAGTACTACATTTATCAGGTGGATCCTCTCCCTTCTGTGGCTTTAATTTCTATTCCTATTCTGACATATTATCTTTCTTACAAACATCACTATCCACCTTCCAACCTTGGAAAGACTACTGTGGTCTTAGATGCAGGGGCTCATGTGCCTGAAATCATGCTGCCAGGATAGAGAAGAGGTCCCTCAGATAGTATATAATCTCACATAGTGCTCACATTTTCTTGGAATTTTCATTAGGAGATTTTAAAGACAGGTCTGGTGGAGAACTGTTGGTAGCAAGTGAATATGAACGTGTAGAGAGAAAAGTTTTTCAGGTGTACAGAAGTGTTATTTGAGCATAAGTATGTTATGTTTTTCTCATGGTCTCATATATTTAAATGATTCCTGCTCAGAGACAAAAAATCTACCTTTTCCTTCTAGAAAAATACAAAGGATATGTCCTTCCCTTTCAGATTCTCTGCAACATTTTCTTCCACATTTTTTGTAATTGGACAGAATTATCCAGTATTTTACTTCATGGGATTTTTCACTGATTGAAGGAAACAAATTTGCTTTGGAACTTGGGTTTGGATTTGGTTTTGTTTTGTTATGTTTTGTTTTTCTGGTAGAAAAGCCAGACTTCAAATCACAAAGCAATATAAAAAATTGCAACAAAGTTAGAAAATTACAAGGGTAATTTAAGGGTAACTTAATAGGGTAACTTAAGGGTAACTTAATATGGTAAAATAAACATAACAGAAATTTTACATTAAAAGGAAAAGATTCAAGTAAATCCAGCAATATGACACATAATTCTGTATTTTAAATTTAATTGCTTTTATGGGAGTATAGGGAAACAGAAAGTAGAAAGTTGCCAGGCAACCATTCGTTAAAAGACAAATCTTTATCCAACTTTCCAGTAATTCTACATTTAGATAACGAAAATTTATTCTGATTTGTCCAGATGATCTATCAAAGTTGAGTTGTTTGAAAATGTCTGGGGTCCCAGTTCATTATAAAATGAGAAAGAAAATCTGAGAAAAGCAATATACATTAAATACAACTGACATGGAATGGGACTGGAAGACTCAACAAGTTAAGAATATTTATCTGACTATATTCCAGACTCCAAATCTGAGATCACCAGTATAATAAAATTACCTCAGTTCTTTTAAGGGCATTATGGTTAACACAGGACTGAAAAAACCCTCATCCTCAATTGCCATTTACAAGCCCTTTTTTTCCTCACTTCTCCCTCTTCTCACTCACTGTGTTACTTTTCAGTATAGCAATGTAATTACACTGAGGACACCTACATTTCACCTAACCCAGCAATTGGAGAACTTCTGAGCAATAAAATGAACTATGAGTGCATAAATACTGTTGGTGGTTTTATCATTAATGTGGGACAAGCCACCTTGAAAGAATTACGTATCCTTATATCAGGGGCATAATCTCTTGTCTGGTTTTATCATCACAATTAATACAATTTTTCTAGAGTAGGATCACATGTTTGCTTCCTTCTTCCACAAACTATTTCTTCCCCTTAGTTTTCTCTTTCCCTTCTGCCCTCCCAAGAATCTTGGAGAAAACAATATACCAGGTTTTAATAACAAATCCTGGGAACCAGGGTGGCCCAGTGCAGTCTCTTTGATGGCTCTCCCAATAACTCTGTGGTAATGGGAACTATCTGGTGATGAAACTTTCCAGGAAGTCTCACTGCCTCTGACATGTTGGTATGCCATCCATGCAGTTGTGTGTAGTCCTCAGTGCTACAAGTCTTCACGATGCATAGGAGCAACCTTCCTGAAGTAGAGCTCTTAGTTCTGAACTGAACTGAGTAATTAGTAATTGAAATCTGTAAGTTTCTGGACATAAAGAAGCAGACACAGCCTCCAGAACAAGCAAGTTAATTTCTGTGGAAGCATTGGTGTAGATCTGCACGGAAAACCTAAGCAGTAAAAAAAAAAAAATGTAACTCACAGGTACAGATCAGAGTGTGGAGAAAGCACATTAATGAGGCACCACACAAATAGGACAACTGTATCTATGTATGAGGCTAAGGAAATAAATGGGTTGAGAAAGGGAAATATTTTCTTTCTCACAGAAGACCTAGATAGAACTTTGAACTTAAGTGAACAGTATCTTTGATCATAGAGAATGCAAAAAAAAATATTGAGAACTGCTTATCTTTAATCTCATGCAAACAAATGAAAGGCCTTCTATTCTTGGGGTCTCAGGGAACAAAGATTGTCTTTGCTACCATGAAATATTTTGAAACATGTTCAAGAATACTTAAACAGTTATCAAGAAAACATATACTTCCTTTGGCATATTGATGTATTTTTTATTTACATGTATTTACACCTTTGGTGTATTCTGCTTCTTGGCCATAGGATTAGTTCTAGATAGTTTCTTCTGAATATTCTGAAGGTTGAATTACAACTGCCAGGATTTTCTTGGTGCTGTAGTAATTTCCCATCTTATTTCAGGAGACCTGCCTAATCACATTTCTTGGCAGGGTCCCATAGATGTTGCAGATTTGGTGTGCTGCCCCACAAGGCTAGCCATGGGCTTTTATAGAGGTGGATCAACTTATATTTTTCAATTGGATTTAACCTGTTTCTCCCTACTTATGACCAAAGGAGGGGAAGAAAGGCTTTCCAAACCAATATCACACAGGAATAGAGTGGCCAGCAGGACCAGAGCAATGACTGTTCCACTGCAGTCGGCACTGGTGAGGCCACACCTTAAATCCCATGCTCAGTTTTGAGCCCCTCACTACAAGAAGGACTTTAAGGGGCTGGAGTGAGTCCAGAGAAGGCAGCAGAGCTGGGGAAGGGTCTGGAGCATCAGTCTGATGAGGAGTGGCTGAGGGAGCTGGGGGTGTTCAGCCTGGAGAAAAGGAGGCTCAGAGTAGAACTTACTGTTCTCTACAACTACCTGAAAGGAGATGTAGTCATGAGGTCATTGTCTTTTTGCAGGTAACAAGTGATAGCGTAGAAGGAAATGGCCTCATGTTGCACCAGGGGGGTTTAGATCAGATATTAGGAAAAATTTCTTCAGACTGCTCAAGGAAGAGTTTGAGTTACTATCCCTGGAGGTAAAGACCTGTTTGAACTTGGTGTTTGGGGCAGATCTGCACAGGCATGTAAGGTAATCTGTTCTGTTGCCTGAGGGTAATCCAGCTTTAGCCTAGCTGCCTAGCTCCTTTTTTTTTTCACAACCCTACTGCCTGCAGAGACACTTACAGCCTCAGTTTTCACTGTGCAGGCCAGTGAGTTTATAGCAAAACTGAACCAGTTAAGCAATGTGGAAAAGAGGTTACTTAGAGACTAAGTTCAAAGTCAAGACAGAATTATCATTAAATATTAATACAGTCAGAGAAGAAATGGTACAGTACTGGTAGCACTGTAGTTGTGATAGAAACATCCTTTATGTTCTTATATTTATACTTTAAATTTTTATGTAAACAAGCATTTTTTTAATCTGTTTATTTGATTTTGTTTTGTATTTAATTTGTTATGTTACCAAAGTCTGTATAAATGGAAAGGTTGCCAATTACAGTTATAAAAAGTTGCAACAGAATGAAAGTATTAGTGCTTAGAAGATTTCATAATTGTCTGTTTGCCTTCCATAGCTATTTTCTGCTGGAAAAATTACAGACACCAGAGCAGCTGAGCTGAAGGAACAGTACACCCTGCTGCATGAAGCTGTGATAAGGTATAATATTCCTTTTTAGACTTTCAGTAGTCAAAGCATTATGTTTTAAAAATATTTTCTGCTCATGCTGAAGCTTAATTAACACTTAAGACTTTCTTACAGTTATAGTTCATAAACAGGAAGCCAGAACACAAGGTTGTAAACCAGTATTATTTAATAGGAACTTTCAAGGTAATTTGGGATACTTAAATACTTCTTTGAAACACATCTTTGTTTCTAATACAAACATAATAATATTGGGAATGGATGTACAGACTGCAATAGACAATTTGCAAGTTTAAAATAAATATGTATTTGAAGATCCTGTAGCCAGAATTGTAATGTATGAAAAGACTGACCTACTGAGCTGACATCACAGAGAGCAACTGAAGAAGCTAAAGTCTCATTTTTAAGGAAGAAAATGAAACTGTCACTCCAAAATAGTGTGAATTTTACCTTCTGAGAGTACTGACAGTCATATTAGACAGGACTGCTAGTAGATTTTGATTAGAAGCTTAAGCTTCAAAGTAAAATGAAATTTGGAAATTTAGGTATAGTAGGTATTATTTAGGTATTTTGGAAATTAGGTATAGTAGTTGTGAGCCTGCCCTGCACCAGTACTTGCTGGAGGACAGAGCAGAGATCTTGCTCATAGCCTGACACCAGGCTTGGGCAGGGCGTGTGTGAGTGGGAGAGAGACAGAGGTGGACAAAGGGGGACACAATACTACAGCTGTAGCAGTCCCAGAACTACTGAAAATACTGCAAAACTACATTAGTATTTATAAATAATAATTTTATATTTCTTACAGCATACCTGTAATTATCAGTGAAATCAGCATCATGATATTCTTGTTACATTCTTGTAATACATACCATAATATCCACCATATTAGCAATATTTTATCCCATTTTCACTGACAGTCCAAATTTAAAACCTTATGGCAATTCTGTCATTGAAGGTAAAGCGTAATATAAGTATTCTAAAGCTAATTCAGGTTATACCTGCTTATTTGGATTATGCTGGAATTCGTTGTGCCTCCTGGCAGTCTGAATAGCAACAAGTGCTAAGTAATGTAAAGTAATTTGAAAAAGAGTTCTCAAAACACTGAAATAGTTTTTCTTGAGGGTAGCTGAGTCTTCTAGTTTTGTCTTAATAAAATGGGAAGTTGGTATATGGTTCTGACTCTGAAACATTATCTGAGTTTATTTCAAATTACTGAGATAAATAGAAAATCTTTCTGGGAAGCAAAACTAAAAACAGCACTACTAAACCAGTTCAGGTTCCTAGAAAATACAAGAAGACTTTTCTGACTGCTCAGATCTAAACATAGTTTGTGGGGTTTGAATTAATCGATTGAGAAGATTTCTGTCTCACTGGTGTTCACTGATCTGAAGCAGAAATCCAGTAGCTGCTAATTAGTTGATTTTTATCCAGTGTTAGTTTGAAAACAGTCTTTCATTGGAAAAATATAAACATATTCCTACATGTTTTATGTATTTATAAATTTTTTTTTTATACAGGACATCCACTTAAGTAAAGGCAATCCCTTTGTGTGTATAGCAAGTGGAATAGGGCCTGAGTGTAAACAGGACTCAGCTGTCCTTTCTGTCACACTTAAAACTATCCTTAACAGAATGCACCAAAAGCATGAAAATGTTAGATGGTAGATTACATCTCTCAGTCTTTCCATCATTCTCACAGCAGTATGAAGTGGCCATACTTCTGTAAGAAAGTGGATCAGAGAGCATGGTGTCACATTCTGTATTAGGTGTAGTTATGTGTCACAGCAGAACACCAATGTGTGAGCAAGTACTAATTCCCATGGATAAATTTCTCCTACTGCTAAAAGAGAGCAAGGAAAATAAATTGCCAAAAATAAATCATGAGGTCCAGTATATTTTAAGGATATCAAGAGTGGGATTCAGACATCAAAAGTGAGATTCAATTGTCCATATATTAACATCAGCAGACGTGCTCATCTGAACAAGGTACCAAGGGTCCCTTAACAGTCAATAGAAAGAAACAGGGACAACACACTTCCTCCTTATTCAGACATCTGCAAGGGTTTAGTTTTCTCCATCAGCTGTAAGGACTGTCCTCGTGGTAAGTGCAGTGTGTGTATATTCTCTTCCTGCAAAGAACCCTTCACAGGATCAATACTGATTTTTAATTGTTAATTTATCTCCCTAACATGTGCAGTATAGTTCTGTGGATGAAGAACTTGTTTTTTCACATATTACAGTTGAATTCAATCCCTTTCCTAATTAATCTCTATCTGTCCTGGTGTTGTTGCAATGCCATATTAAGACAAATGACACAGGATGAAGTTTTCAAGCTCTGTTTTCTTCTTTCCTTTATTAGCATATAAAAATCTCAAGGAGAAAGCCTTATACATCTTAAGCAGCACAATTCCCTGTGACAGCTGTGCCAAACTGTTGCAACTGATCTCTTTGGTATACAAATTTATCTAATATAATGAATGCAATTACTCTGTGTGCAGGTAGTTTCCAAGGCTGTTGCCAGTGTACACAGAGCTATAAATGTATAGTGCAGTCCTCTGTTTAGTAGCAAATTTATTTCTTGCTATCAGTTTGGCACAATTTGGCATTCTGTGAAAGATGTCACCTGGCAGATAACATCTTTGATACTTTTCTTCAAAGTCTTAAGTGCTTTTGAATTTATGTTCTCTGAGAACAGGCTGTCATGCCATTGTGGTGCTGACTCACCCATCCACTTTGTAGTAAGGCTGCATCTAAAGTTGAACTATCTGAACTTGGATTTGGCCCCTGAAAACTCTTTCAGTCACTCAATTGTGTAGCCTAGTTGTAGATTTTATTTATATTATCTCAATTTAGGAACCTAATATGAATATTCTGATCACCCAAACTGGAAGATACTCAGATAATAACGAAGATTCATTAGCAGGTTAGGAATCTTATTTTCTTAAGCCTCTGCTAAATTACTAATTATTACACAAATTCAAAAGCTGCCAAATCAGACTGCACAATCTTACTTCAGCAGTCATGTGAGTCTATATGAGTACATTGTGTAGATATGCAGTTATTTCTTCATTGTCTTCAATTAAATTTCATTCAACATGAAAAAATACTGTTGGCATCTGCAGGGAACAAAATCTTGGTTCAACACTCAAGTCTTATTTCTATTTTTCTTTTTTTTATTACATTGAAAAAACCAATACTAAAAGTTTTGTTTTTATGAATTCACTTACGTGTTTATGTAACTATGTAAAATGTATATGTTACGACAGAATTGTGTTTGAAATTGTGTATTACTACAACAAATTATATTTTCTCCCACAATTGCATAAATTCTCTTAGATTTAAAGAATACTTAAGTATCATATAGAATCCAGTGTTAATAAGTCATTTTAGTTTTCCCTTAATATGTATATGTAAACACATGAAATTATTTGTTCATGATGAAGGCACACGGTTTTGTGTTGAAGTCTGTGGTTTTCTTATTTTCTAGTTTAGAAAAAGGAAGTTGTCTAGGGAGAAATGTTGCATGAATCAAAACAATTTCTGCTATATTATTTCAACTATGTTTGTGCAGTATAGTCAGTTTTATGTTTTGTATCATCATTATATTTTTATCATCATTTTACCATCTTGACTCTATTCTCTAGTGTGATATGTAATTTTGTTTTTCTGTTTAAGCCATAAATGTAAAATTTGAGCCAAAATTTATGTCCAGAGTTTCTAAATATGGGAAATTCTAAGTTCCTTTGTTTTTTTAAATAAATGTATTGCACTATATTTTTAATTAATAAAAGGCAAGTGATGGAGTTCTTTATTCTTCTACATACTTTGTGACTAATTTTAGTATACCATTATATAAAAGTCATAATGCAGTACTACTGAAGAGGCATGCACAATGATTTCTATAGCATAAAGCATAGATTTATGTATGGTACATTGTATATGAATTTTCATAGTGTTGTTCTAAGAGTTTTCCATACTAATCAATATATTTTACTAAAAGCCTTTAGGATGTTTTTCAGCTGTCACAGGTTCTTAAGTATATTATGCACACCAGTCTCCAGACACTGACAGGAGTTTGTTGTTTCTGTGGAGCTAGTCTGGTGGTACAACTCAGATCAGATCATTGATCACTGATCTACAGGCCTCAGAATAAGCTTCCACAGATGTCCACAAATGTACTCTCAGCTTGTGTATCATTACATGAGTTATTTCAGGTCTTGGTAGCACTACAGCAGTAGCAAGATGTAATTCATCACTGGGAAGATGAACCTGTGTTTATTAAGAATTTAAAGTTGTCATATAGGCCAGACTGGGCCTTGTCCTGGTGAACACTATTATAAGTCTCTGCAGTGAATCAGATCTAGCCTTTGGCACTTCTTAGGATAAAATGGATTCCCTGTCTCTTCCTTTTTGTCTAGGAAGTGTTAGACAAATAAATTAAACTACATAACAGTCTGTCATCTGGTTAAAATTAGGTGAGATGAATCTCACTCTAGATGTAGGTATGCAGAAAAACCCCCAAGACCAGATTCCACTGCTCTCATGGCATCATAGGATGATTTGGGTTTGAACAGAGCTCAGGAGGTCCAACCTCCTGCTCAAGGCAGGGTCAACTAGGAAGTCAGACAAGATTATTCAGATCTTAATTCCATTTCATCTTGAAAACCTTGAACTAAATATTACTGGTATGTAAAGATGTATAAATACAAAGCCTGTGCTTCACATTGACTAGTTCTAAATTTGTCTATTTAATGTAGTTTACAGGAATCTGAGACCCAGCTGTTACAGGAAGCTGAACGCCTGAGTACAGAACTGGAGCAACAATGTGACCTGGAAAAAGCAGAACAGCTCCCTGAAGAAGCTTCCAGTGAAGCTTCCCAAATAAGGCAGCAACTTCTTAGCTGCCGAAGTGAATACAATGCTATTAAAGGAAGAGTGTATGAAAATCGATTGAAGATAGAATGGTAGGTGAAAGTGGTCACCTGCTGCTAATTTTATCATAGCTAATCTAAAAAGATGATAAATAGAATAAAAATAATCTCCTTTACATTTTACGTGGACATATTTCATGATGGCTGCTGTCAAACAAATGGCCGCAAACTTTCCCCAGTAACAGCAACATGTCAGTGATGAATAAATTTACCATGGTGAGATTTGTAGATAGTTTTAAATTTAGAACACGGATAGGGTTCTTTAAAATATTGTTTAAAATTTGCTACATTGCACAAATAATATTTAGGTGGAGAAAATTAACATGAACAATTCTAGTCTAGGATACCTTCAATACAAATGTTTAAAGTGTCTCAGAGACCTGTTGGCTTGGATTTTATGGAACAATGTCATAAATAGACCCAGTGCTATTTTTAACGTCAGTGGCATGGTGTATTCAGAATTTTCTATTCAGGTATTCAAAGGGGAAGGAGTACTTGTATATTCTAATGTCAGAAAAATTATAAATTTACTGTGAAGGGAATGAAATCTTAACATTTCTGTGTAAAGAAAACAATCCAGAATTAGCTTGGTATTGTATACATTTCAATTATCTGCATACTCTGTAGTAAAATTACAAGCAGAAGTATTGCATTTTTAAAAATATGTACATAGGTAGATCAAATCAGCTTTTTATTTTGTGGGGGCCTTGCTATTTTTACCCATCTTCAATCCAGCTGTAGTGTCATTGGTGTGTATATAAACACAAACACATAGTGTCAGCATCTCAGCAGTTAAGCTTATTATTCTGCAAGGAAATCAGGAACACTGTACACACTGCATGGAGCAGGCTTTTCTGGCAATTCTTTATTGATTTTTTTAGCTTTTTTAGAGCCAAGTGTTTGCTCTAAGAGAAAAAGAAACTTGAGAATGAAGCAAACTGGGAGTGGGAAAGAAACATGGAAAGAATCTGGAAAAAATTATTTGCTATGAGATAACTAAGAAACATGAAATTTCCTGAAATAATTATTAAATACAGAATGTATTGCAATTTCCAAGCAGTCCAAAAATAAGGTCTTCTAAAGTGTGCTTTTTAACCATTTGTCCTCATATATTTTGGGCATTTTTCACTGGTTTTGCATCAATTTACAAAAAAAAAAAAAAAAAAAATTAGGATTTATATGTTTAGGAAATATTTTCCCATTCTCTATTTTCTACCTCCAGTCAAAATGAGAACTCTGTTCTATAAAAAATGCAGTGTAGGTATTTCAATTACCCTTGCACATTTTCTGGATAATTTTAATATATGAACTGAATATCTTGCAGGTTAAAAATCCACTTTTTGGGCTTGTCATGCTGTAAAAAATGTTCCTTCATTGTAGTAAGTAACTTATGCTTTGTGTATTACCTGTGATCAAACCCAGCTGTGCAGTCTGACCAGAGGTTGGTGGGGTGCATTATCTAATGGAGACCAAAAGTGCAGCCCCAGCCACTTGTGATGTGGGGATTTCATGAGCCAAATACAGTTCTCTGTGCTTGGGAATCCTCAGTTGACCCCTATTCCTTTGAACTTTTCCTGTCTCCTCCAGAACAAACTTCTGACATTGCAACACGCTGGGTGAAGCGTTCCACAGATTAACTACGTAAGAGCTGCCACCTCCTTGCTTTTTTAACCTGACTCCTACAGCTTCTTTCAGTGCCCTGTAGTTCTTGTACTGGATGAGACAATGAGCATCTGATTCACCGCTGCAGAATGGATTAGTAGATCTCTTTTGTACAACCCCTTCCCCCTTTAATTTGTCTATTTTTTCAAACTCAGGAGCTACAGCTTATTTAATTGTTCCTTGTCTGGAATCTGTTTCATGCCTGATTGTAGCATTGGGTCTTATGTGTGTTGTGGGTATGAAGTGAGAAGGATGTGCCTTGATTGTGTGTGGATTTGCTTACTGGGAGAGAAATTCCAGAAATATTCAAGAAATTATACTGATTTTGAGTTGGACTAGTCTAGAATGAACAGGACTAGCACAATATCTATAAAGAATGGGTGAGTGAATGTAGTGGAGAAATGATAAATAGACTATGAAGAAAACCAGATGATGGGTGTGAATACATGTTTGTAATGAAGGTGTGAGTTTGTTGCCTGTGAAAGACAGTGAAAATGAGTGTCCAGAGTAGAGTTTTGAATAGCAGGTGATCCAACACTGATGTAAAATGAAGATTTATATGCTTGCTGGTTTTATCCAAAGATAAAACAGTATTTGCTGAAATATCTGTGTGCACAGACAATGTCACAGACAGGGGAGAGGGAAGCTGCATCAGAGGTATTAGAAGTTTGCTAGATTGCTGCTTGGTTTCCTTCATTTCTCAGGATAAAAAGTCATGGTCCAACCTCTCTTGGCCCTTGATCTCTCTGGAACACAGTTTCCCTTGTTGTCCAACTGTGTTAATACAGTCCCAGCTGTGCTTGGCACTTACAAGTAAAGTCTCTTTGGGAATTATGACTAATGGCTGTTCAGTCTGAAAATAAACATGTTGTTTATTTACTTTTTTATGCATAGCAGGCAGGGAACATGGAAGGGGAAAGGTTCTGAAGGGTTTATCTGTGTCTCTTATCTACTGCTTTATCCTTTTTTTTTAGAATGTCTACTCAGACCTAGTGCTGAGCTGGAAGTGAGAAATCTGATCTGGTTTCCCTGGTTCTGCAGATCTCTGTTCCCCTGTTTCTGTAAACCTTTCTTTCTCTGAAGCATCCCTCTTATCTCTGATGCCTTTGTTTCCTGCCTTAATTTACTTTCTCTAATATCTAAGAGTACTTAGCACATTTTTTCCACTCAGATTCAAATCTGACAACAATGACATTTCATACTTGAGGAGTCCTACAGATATGCCATAACATTAGCAAGGCTCAAGGTCTCTTAATATTCCATACTCTTCTGTCCCTATTTAATTTCCTATTTACTTGACTCTGTAAGTAATTTTTTTCAGACCTTTCTTAATAGCTGATGATATTTCATCTTCTGTTTTAATTGTTTATTGTTCTAATGAATGGTCAACATTCCCAGAATAAATTAAATTGCTTTCAGGATCAAAGTATCATCAGGTTTTCAGGAATTTTGTGACTTTTTTCATAGCTTGAATAGGTACATGAGGTATTTAGTGTATTTCTTGACACACTTCAGCTGTCAGGGAAGTCACCCTGAGGGTGACTGCATGGATGGGTTGTGTTCCCACTGTTGGTATGTGCCTCCTCTTCTAGTTTGTGGCCTGTTCTGCCATATGGATGTACTGGGCTCATTGCTGGTGTGTCTGCCTAAGAGCTCAGCACAGAGGGAGAACAAGGGTTGGAAGGATTTTACTGAGCTTGTAAAGCTTGGGCCACCATCCCAAAGCCAGAGCTGACTCTGGGAGTATTCTTCCTCTCAAAAACTACTTGGCAAGGGTAATAAAGTAATAAAGTAAAAGGAAGAAGAGTCATCTGCAGTCATCTCTCATCTCAGTTCTGCTAAAATTGCATTCAGAGCCATGAAATTTCTTCATATAATTGCTAAGAAGCCTCAGTAAGTAAGAATATAGACCAAAAAATCAAATTAGCGGAACAAGAAGGAAAGAATCAGTGTGATCAGCAAGGATTTGTTCTGGCTCAAGGAGACATTTCACTTTAATGTTCATGTGTGGCTTGGCTGGTTTATGAGACAAAATAAAATAAAGAAGAGTTGCTTTTTAATTCAGCAATGGTATCAACAGTAGCTTATTATTGAGAAATAATAAATATTCAATCTAAATCTATCATCTAAACAATTCATTTAAAAGTAAGCGATTAATTTGTACTAAATTTATCTATAACATGAGTTTGTGAGATTAAAGGTGCCTGATGCTTGAAAATAATTTTATTTGAAAGCCTAGGTCCAATCTCCAAGCTCTCACAGGGATAACAGCTCCTCACTGAAGTACTCTGTGCAACTGCATGCAAGTCAGGATTGCAAAACTGACTTTGTCCTTGTAGAAGCATTGCAAATAAGGAACACTTGTAATTATTTCTGTATTAGTCACTCAATAATTAAAAAGTGAAAAGTTAAGCTGTTGTCCATGGCTTATGTAGTAAAGAATTACAGACTATAAATAAAATAAATAGCATCACAGCTATTATAATCACAGTTGATAACAACAGATAAGTTGTTATCAGCTGGCCTTGTCTCTGCATTTTCTGGTACCTACAAACTAATTACAGCTCAGAGCCTTACAGGAAGCTCACGCTGGCAGCCTGTCAGCTGTGATGACTTCTACCTATGGTCACTAGATTTTAGTAGTGAGGTGCTGAACACCTTCTGTGGATTTCCAAGCTATTCTGAGAGATAGTAGCTGAAGGAGTTTGCTTTCTTGCATGATGGGACTTCTAATGATGACAGTGTTGTGGTTTTTTGTGAGCTGAGGAAGTGAAACGGGCTTCTGTTGACAACTACCACTACATTTCTTAATCTCTCAATTTTTTTATTTCTGTGTCAGCTTGCAGCTGTACATGTCTCTCAGGGAAAAATCTGGAATATATTTTTATTAATAGCTCAGTTTTCCAACTGCCTTTTTTTACCTCATTACAACTGCATCTCTGACAGCTTTTCATGTACAGTGTTGTTATTAGGCTCCATGAAAATAAGAGCAATGTTAGAAATGTTTGCATACATTAATGCTTAAGAATTTTATCTTCTTTCCATTGTGTGTGTTGTTAGAAGTATAATAGTGATAATAAAATCCACATGATTTTTAAAAATACATCCATCAGTGAAGGGCTATAAAATAATGGGAAATTTAAATGCCTAATGCCAGTTGCAGCGGTTTTGTTTGTTGTCATTGACATCTAAGTAAAATAGTCATGAGGCTGATATCCATATAACACAGATTAAAAGATTCAAATGCTAAAGACCAAAATTTCTCTGCTTATCTTACATTAAGCTTCTGTGTTTATCTATTAAATAAGAGACTAAACTTAAATTCTTTGAAGAGTCTCACTTGATTTCTAAATGTGTTTTAATCATCCTGACTCCCCTTTAGAGTGCACAGAGAGATATAGGTTATCTTCAAGTGTTAATTTATGTCATCGTAAAGCAGTCACCTGGAATGTGAGATGACCTTCCCTTTGGAGGTCCCACTTTTTATCCCTGACAATAAGGAAGCCTGGGATATTAGCATAGAGCTGCCTGACTTCTGGCTGTGGGCAGCTGGATCAAACTCATTGTTCAAACGGGAGAGATTTAACTTCTTTCTTTTTACCCATTTTTTTTTTTCACACTTCACTGGTTTTTATGTGGAAGTGGTTGGTTGGCTAGCTATTTAGTTAACTTGGCCCTTGTCATTCACTGTTGCCTTTGTTTATGCCACAGAAAATGAAGTGTTCAAATCATTTTACTTCTGCTGGATGGAAAATTTTTTGTTGTGAAACTGGAATGGTTCCACAGGAATCTGTCCTCATGAGTGAGGAATGTGACAGAATGAAAACAGTGTCAGTTTTGCTCTCCCTCCTGATCTTCGGTATTGCTCTTTTGATCGTCCAGCATGATGTGAAAGGGGGCACAGCACGGTCTAACCGCAAGCTCTGCAGTACCTCTTTAATCATTTGGCATAAGACTTACTTAATAGTATTTCGTGGTAGTCAAACAGTTATGGCTATTTGTGCAAAGGAGACATTCTTTATCCTTAGTGTGATTATGCCAGTCCCAAGGAATTCAATTAGAAGCACTGCCAAAATGGGTTTGGAATATGATTTTGGAATTTTGGAAATTTATTTTTTAATTAATTTTATCAATTTTGGGGGAAGATTGATTTAAATTCAACTTTTTTCTTTATAAGATTTTGTTTTGCAAACTCATTCACTCTCTGAGTGTTCAAACGCTGCATTCAAATTAGTTTTTAGTCTTTACCAGTCCCTGTAGAGGCATACTTGCAGTCTGCCTATACACATATCATACATGCTGTATATCAACAACATCTACTCTGTGTCTATTTTCTCTTTGCTCTTCATCTGAGCCAGAGCTTCTTATTTGTGGGAGAGATGTTTTGTTTTGTTCTGTTTATATTGCAACACCACCAACTCAGTTCTCTTTTTTTTCACTATTTAGTTTCCTTAATATGTTGCCTGAGGCTTCCAGGTATAAGCTTCACTCCTTTTGTTGGAGGACTCAAATATAAGAAAGAGTTTATTGAGAGAGTGGGGGTGGTGGAGGGGAGGAGGGAATCTTATATCAGAACTGCTAAAGGGTTGAGTGTAAGGTCCTAGGAATGGTCATCCATGAGTTGGCTGCTGGGAGACTGATCTCTGTTCCCATGACCACATACTTTCTGAATCCTGAACCACCACCACCATGCAAAGTCTTGCATTGCTGCTGAAAGATTTCAGAAGAAAAAAAAGAAATAGCTGTCACCTGCCTTTTTTCTGTATCAGCCACATTATGAGGTAACTAATAGCTGTTTTGGGTGGGTGGAGATGCCCAGGAGTCCCTTGCCATTGTTATAGCTCCAAGTGACACGACTCTTTTATGGAAGTTTGTCCCTTTCCCTTAGTGCTTCTCTAATTTATAGAGTTATTTATTCTACCAGACTGCCCTGGGTATCAACAAAACTTGACCAGCACATCCTCCCACCTGAGTTAAAAAAATTTAAGCACTGAATAAATTTGAGCACTGAAGTGGATTCTTTGCTATACCTGGAGGGGATTTGTTTGTTCCACCTATTCCTTAGCTGCAGTCTTTACTTCTTTATAGCCTGAGACTCTGAAATGTCATTGTAGGTACGAATTGCATTGCAAGAACCTGCCCTCTTGTTCCCAGTGAATAGCTCAGTGACCCAGTTAAGTTGTTAGGCTGTGAGGGCATACAGACTGCTGTAGCCCATTTACCTTCTATAGGTGCAGAATTGTTCTGTGCAGGTACTGGGGATGTAAAGATGTACCTTCAGAAGGGATAATTTTTTTGTATTTGGCAGTATTTACTTACCTGCTACCAAGAAGCTCCCTATTGTAAATCCAACAAGATTGTTGCTCAACAAGGTTGAGCTCTCTTTTTAGAACCATTCCTTCATCTTTCTCAGAGCAGTGTTAGTAAATGCACACAAGATCTAAGAGCTTTCCTGTTTTCTCCTTTCTTCCTTCTTCACTTCTTTAGCATCTGTCCCTGTTGTTGCCTGAAATTAAATGCAATTTAGTTTTGGATATAGGTTAAAATCACTGTGGCTATTCAATTTATTTTTCAACCATACTCCTTTGACTTAGCCTATAATCTCTGCCAGTTTTCAGGATTCTTTTTTCACAGGATCCAGTCCAGATTTGAGGAGCTTCACCTGAGTAGTCTGAAGAGTAAATGTATATGTGAAAACATTCATAGGAAGAAGAAAGTTTCTCATTAGCAACTGCACTTTCTTTGACATTTGATGTCTTTGTGGTTGTTACCTACCTCCTCTTTCCTTTTGCCACATTTCCATGTTGACATTTTGTTTTCTGAGGTTGGGAGGAACTGTGGCTCTAGGGTGCCACTAGTAAAGGCAAGGGTGAGTGAGGCATGAATGCACCCCTCAGGAGGTGGTCAGACTAAGAAAAATCAGGTTCAAATGTTTAGATGTGTGCACTGTAGAAAAAGATGTGTACACCTCCATATATACACCCAGTGCTTCAGGACCCCCAATTACTTCCTTTAAGTCTGAGCACCTTTCATGCTCTTTCACCGTGTGTTGTAGTCTAACACAGGATAGGGTTTCATACTTTCCTACCATTTACTATATTGCAGTAATGATTATTCTATTGCTAATATATTTAGTTCTGCTTTGATTTTTACTGCAGTTTGCGAGAAGAAAAAAAGCTTCTGGAAAATGAATACGAAAGAATTTCAAAAGAAAAGGTAAGTACAAGACATGAGAAAAGCAATGTATTATGTTTCGTCAACTAACATATTAAAAATCACTGAAAATGTTTTCTCACTGTGCATATCTAGAATTTATTTAAAATAGAATACATAGAAATACATAGAATACATAGAAAAATAGATTTTAAAAGAAACAGAGTTTATTGGCTATATTATATCATATTATATCATTCAATTTTGATAACTTGGGCAAGCAATAAATAACTGATTCAGAAAAGATCTGGATTTTTGTTTACTCAAGAAAATGTCTACTATATTCAGCAAATGGATACTGCATGTAAAGATAGCTGTAGGTTTTTAGTTCTAGGATATGAACATGAAAAATACACTTGTAGCCATAAATCCTGAGGAATATATGTGGCTTTGTTGGAAATAAAATTCTATTAGTATTGATAGAAGAAACACACATCTGGTAAAAAAAAATACATTTCATATCTTGTCATTAAAAATGTTATTGTCATTCAGTTAGTTAGTGAGTCTGTGTTATCAGAAGCCTGCAAAATGTAAAAGGGAAAATACAATTAATCTGGTATTTTACTTTCTTTTTAAGAAAGGCAGTAAAATTAAAAAGTTGAAAGAAAATTGTGATGAGCTCAGCAAAGAAGTAATCCAGAGGAAAGAGGAAATTGATTCAATAAAAGAAGCTGTTTCATCCAAGGAAAAGCTGATATTAACAGATGAGGAAGAAATGGAAAAGCTTCAGGAGATGCAGACTTATTTAAAAGTAACACAAAATTAATTGTACCTATGTATCTGTGAGTGTGTGTGCATTTGTGTGTATGGGTACATGTTTTGCCCAAAGGAGCAGTGAATATTCTGGATGTTGTCATTCCAAATTCATTATGTCACTACATTAAATATTAGACCATTTTCCAATAGGCGTGAAACATGCTGCTGTGCCATATCCTTATTACTTCTTTAGGAAATACTAAGCCATGGTTTTGATTAAAAAGTGGTTTCTATAAAGACATCTTAGTTATTTTGTGTTGTTGTAGGTTGCTCAGATTACAGTTAATACAGATTTATGCTGAGAATTAAAAAAATACCTGGATCAACTTCTTTTCATGGTATAAATAGCATTATAAGATGTATTAATAGTATTCAAGCATAATTCTTATCTTGAAGACATACTAAAATGGTAAACCTCAATGTTTAGTTTTAAAACTAGCAACTACATTTCTGTGGTAAAAACTCAAGTAATTCAAAAATGCTTCCTACTGATTTTCACACCAGCTCTAAATGAATATTACTACTATGAAAAGTCATCAGCTTTTGAGGCTATTAATCAAACCTTTCTGTTTTGTTACTAGGCTGAGCTGGTTAGGATCCTTGGTATTCCAAAGCAACTTGCAAAAGAAACTGAGAAGCTGAATCAGAAAAAAATGTATGTTTTTAATAAATAATTCTATATACCTGAATATATATGTATGACTTCTCATCCCTTAGTTATAGAAATGATTGAGGATAATTGTTGATTAGAATGAGGATCAAGATTTAAACTAACACCTCCACAGCTGACAGTGTGGCCTGGGCTACAAACTCATTCTCCCTTGGTCCTTCTGTACCAGCTGTGGAGCCACAGCTGCTTTGCTGTAAGATCCTGACATGAGTTGCAGTCACTAATACTTTATCAGGGGAAATGCAAGCCAGCAGCCAACCTTTTCTTTTTCTCTTTTGTGAAGCTGGGGTTCTTCTCCGCTGAAGCATGGCATGTGCTCTTTTCTGTAAGAGTAAAATCAAATTAGCACTGTGCAGTTTCTTCTGGGTCACTCACAGATCCCAGCGGTCCAATTGCCATCCAGATGAATGATGGGTTTCGTACCCCATTTGTGCACAGGGTTACACTGGAGTTTGTGTCTCCTTACTACTCTGCTTAATGCAACTCTGCCATCATAAATCTAAGAAGTTTTCCCTATAGTGTTACAGAGAACCAATTTCTAAAACCTACATTGTGCAGATTGCTATTAATGAAATATTTAAATGAGTCTTTATATAGTCTTTATATGTGTCACATGACAGAATAAACTAATCAGAGTTCCCATTTCTTAGGAAGAGTATTTAGAAACGTCATAGCCTTGTACCTAGTAATTTTGACATAAATCAGTTTACTAGAATTCTTTCTAATGCTGTCATGGTGCTAAGCTGTCAGTTAACCTCATGGCTACCTGCAGTTTTATTGTTGGACTATATTGGAATTTGAAGGTTTTCACTGTCTGTTTTCAAACATTTAACATATATTGTTGTGGAATTATTTTGTAGGTCCACAAAAACTGGCAACTTACATTTTGTTTTTTAAATATGCATGTGGAAAATTTTACCCTTACTGCTTTGTTAAAATATATCCACAGTGATGCAGAGAAGAAGAATGAGGCCCTTAATGACCAAATAGAAGAATTGAATAGAACCCTGAAAGCCACTGAAAAAAAGACTGAAGAGATTTTTCAAGAAAAAGAAGATGTGATGAAGGAATTGCATGACAGACAAACTTTGATACAAAAGAATGAACAAGAATGCATTACTTTGACAAAATTACTAGAAATTAGTGCAGAGAAGGAATTAGCCATCCTAACAGACAGGTTAGAGACATGAGCCACATGGAAAGAGTGAACAATCTTCTATTTTCAAAAATCTATTTATTTTTTCTGCTGTTGCTTCTATTTTCAAGTTTTATGCAACAGCCAGTGGAAATTATAAATGATCCGCTTGGTTTTCACTTCAGAAATGTTTATAGAAAAATTTGGAATCTTCAATCTCAGACTTGGCTTGAAGAAGAACATCAAAAATCATAAGCATTGAATAAAATCCTGTGAGATTTTGCTCTTAAAAGTGAAATCTTTTAGAGGGCTTCTCTCTTTAGTGCACATATTTTCTTTCCTGTGTAACCCACTGAAAGTAATTTGAAGAAGAATAAAGTATGTCAGTATTTTCATTTTCGAATGAGGATCATGGATGTCTGCCCTCATGTAGTCCTGAATTTCAGAGAGAATTGTTTAATCATCTCTTTAATATTCCCTTCAATTATGATCCTTGGTAAAGTAAAATAAACTGTTAGGTTGCAGGCAAGCTTCCAATGATTCCTCCTTTGCAGAGGGAGATGTATAGTTGTAATTCTGGCCATATGCTCAGCAACAATTCTTTTGCCTTTCAAGCTTTGTATTAAAGGTCCATGGCATTTTATTTTGAAATGTTCCATCATACTAAAAAATGTGTTTTCTTCTCCCTATATGTACTAGATTCCCTGATATTTTTAGCACATTTAGAACAGAATGTGAGATGTCATCAGCATAATTAGGGTATTATAATTGATTATAGTTATAAAAATGCAACCTTTTTAGGTACTTTTTGTCAGTAGTTTGCAAGTTTGTCTTGCTGAGCCATAGTGATGAGGTACTTGAAAGCCATTAAAATAGTTGTGCCTGTTTACATATATGTCTTGATTAAGTTACCTGTTTCTAAAATTCTGTGTCTATCTATATAGACAAATTCTGGAAAATAATTTAAATAAATGCGTCTTGGAGAAAAAAAAGCAACAAGATATTCTCAGTCACCATCAAACACAGAAAGATAAAGAACTGAAAAGTTTAAAAAAGATAGAGTTACAACTGAAAGGGATTTGGGATTCCTTGGAAGGAGATAAGGCAAAGCATAAAAGACTCAAATCAGAGGTCTGTATTGATGCATTGATCATAAAGATTGTAAATTTTCTTGTAAGAAATACTTGTATGAAATCTCTTGACAGTCCTACAAGGGAAAAGGGGGGAAGACTGTCATTTCACCTTCCTCATTTCCTCCTTGCTTTAGTATTTCTACCATTCCTCTTTCAATAATGCTTTACTCTTTTCTGTTTTACTTAGTCTTTTGACTATGGAAATTTTAAAGGGAAGTACTGTTCTGCTTGTGTATTCAAAGCATTTTCTTTCTTTTCTACTTTCAGTTCTTTCTTAAAAATTTACTTTGTCTATAAATTTTTTATATTTTCTTTCATCACCGGTTCTTCCATTCTCTCTTTGTAATACATATTTTCTCCTAAACTTGCTGCTTGCTCAGTCTGGATTCTGAGTCATATAAAATTGTTTAGTCAGGTGAATATTTTTTCCCAGAACTTGATGTTTCCTACCTTGACGCTGTCCTTCAAATTTTTCTTCTAAGGAATTCAGGGCAGAAAAGAGTCTTACATAATTGTAAGGTTTTAAAAAATAGCTATATGCATCAAAACTCAAATAGCTTTGCTATGTAAACAACTCTGATTATTACTTGATAATATTTTAATATTATCAAAAAATATTTTTTTGTCTCCCTTGAAATTCCTTCTGAATTCACATGTGTATTATTTAGTAATATAAGCTCACCAGGGAGAAGGGAGGAAAGCTCTAGAACTACACAACAAAGTTTTGGATTTAATTTCCTGAAATAGTGATTAAAGGGCTGACTCACAATCCTGACTTTGATCTTAAAGCTTAAAGATTTTCTGTTCAGTTCAGCTAAGAAAATCTTGGAGATGGTATTTTTGCTTGTGTTTCCTTTGAGGAAATGTTCCTGGATGTAGAACCACAATTGTTTAAAAACATGTAATGCTAAAGTTAAATGCCATAACTCACCAGTGGCTGTGGTTAGAGTTCACAGTCTGGGTGAGATCCAAACCCATCCCAGCCCAATTCCTTCACCCTATGGAAGGACAAGACCTTGTATGTGTCTTACAAATAGCATCATCATGAGGAGTAGGGGAAAAGGAATGCCATGAGAGACAGAAGTGGAATTCTAATCAGTATTTTACTCCAGCAGCTGCAGGATACTACTCGAATGCATACAGGCCACAGCAACAGAGTTATTTTAGCCCATCCTCCCATGTTCAATGTTTTCTCTGATTGCTTTCCTGGCTCTGTTAGAAGAGCAAATGTGAAATCAGTGTTCCTCTGCAGGGTGGCCAATTGAAACACAGTACTGCAGCAAGGAAGAGTCAAGTGGCCATCTTGATTCTGCTTGGCTTTTGCTATATTGGGACAATTCTAATTTGTCAGACTTGGGAGCACACCTAGCAAAAACTAAAAAACAGTATTTTAAGTAGATGAAATTTATTTAACTACTTAAACCCCCAGATTTACATTTATTCATTGTGATTCAAAGTGCAAAAATCACAAGAATTAATGGTTTGTATAAATATGTGATTGCAGAAGCAGCAGTACATCAATGTGGTTCCCCAAATTTCTTCTTTTGAATGACTGGTTTGTAGAATAAGGAAATTACAAGAACACTTCCTTCAAATGTGTTTTTCCCTTTAGTGAGTTGTGAAAGGTCAGCTATTGCTAAACACCAACACTGTGTGTGAAAGAGAACCACTGGTCCTGCTGTCTCCAGCCTGGACCAGAACTGCTGCTCCTCTCCATGTGAGCCTTCTCTTTGGTCAGGCCAATGCAGAGACAGCCAAAAATTCCTAAGTTTAGCCCTGTCTTACATAAACAAAAGTCTTTAATGGATTCAAGATGTTTATGTGAGCTTTTTACTTTTACACAGCAGAAGTGACAACTAATATATGCTCCACGGAGAAGCTATTTTTGATCCCAACACAAGACTGAAAGCCATTTTATTAGGACAGGCTTTACTGACATTGTAGTAAACCTAAGTAAAATCAAATCTCAGAGCTGGCAGCTGCAACTAAAGTAACTCCACACTTTGACTTTTATTGTGTCTCTTGTTTCCATTTCTAATAATGCAAGTGAACAGCGTTTAATTTTACAATACTATCACAGAAGTGAAAATAACAAGTGCTATCAGTATTGATTTATAGTGTTTTGAACTCTAACATGTGGTTGAGATCTGAGCATCACAGGGTTGTGTATATTATCTTTGAGTATCTTCCAGGTCTGTTATTAAATGTAATTTTTTTCCCATCCATATGAATTACAGATTTGCAATTAGAATAATTTGGGCTGGAAGGGACCTTTAAAGGCTCTTTGGTCCAAACCCCTGCAGTAGGCAGGGACACATTTATCTAGATCAGGCTAGTCAGACCTCAGTCCAACCTGGCCTTGATGGTTTTTAGAGATAGGGCATCAACCACCTCTCTGGGAAACCTGGACCAGTGTTTCACTACCCTTGTTGAACAAAATTCTTTTTTATATCTAATCATCCCTCTTTTATTTAAAAATTAATATCCCTTGTCCTGTCATAACAGGTCCTGCTAAATTGCTTGTCCCCATCTATTACACAGAGGCAATATATGCCTTCATAGTTAGTCTGATGCACTTATTTCTTGCTTTCTTATAAACATAAAGAATTTTTAAGTGAAGTTAATCAGCTGAAGTACAGCTTTTTGTCTCACAAGTTATATCATGTAAGTAGTTGTAGTGAGATTGATCAGATGCATTTTAATCAGTGGTAGTTTTTTTTTATGTATTCCTTCACATACTTAATGTTAAAATCTGATTGAATAAATGAATTTTCCCATAATGTACATGAAAAAATAATAGATACATTTTTGTGTTATTAGATTTGTCTTTCTAGAGTCTAATTAAAATCCTACCATAGTAACAAAAGGAAAAAAATATTATATCCATTCTATGTGGATGTGAACTCTTTTTTCCCTTTAGTAAGTTCAGAATTTAACTCTGAAAATCCTCTGTGAATTTAGGTGACATTTTTATGTACTCTGAGTTTATTGCTTTTTTAATGAGAGTTTGGTTGCTGAAAATCATAAACCTTCTAAATGTGTGAAGTTTAGTGTTCACAGTTCTTGAAAGAAAAATTTGAGACACTTCAATAAGCATTCTTGTACTTGCAATTATAAAAGGAGAGAAAATTAATTTCTTAATTTGTGTAGCTACTTCTAATACAATATCTGCAGTTTACATTTTCGTCATTTTTTGTTTGCATCACTATGTGCTTGGTTTATTTTTGTAGGCAGAAATTAACTCAAAAAAAAATGCAATATTATTAGAAAAACGACAAGAACTGCAGGAGGAGATTGAAACGATCAAGAGAGGTTTAGCTGAACAGGTGCTGAGTTCTGCTTTCTCATATTTTTTTCATTTTGACAGCTGGTTTTCTATCATGAGAATAAGGGGATTATTTGAAGAAAAAATAATGGGAGTTTCTAGCTGCAGCTTTCTGGTGAGAAAATGCAATAGTATTTACTCAGTTTTAAAGACCACTTGTCTTTCATTTTCAAAAACTTTTTTTGGTGTTACTGGCTACATAGTAGAAGGTAGAAAGCAAATCTACTTTCTAGTTTAAGTTTCTGAATGTTGTTGATGACACTGCAGCTAGAAATATATTGTTATAGATTTCCTTTGGATATGAAACTGTCTTGTTGCAACAAAAAAATTCAGTATTTGTACGTTAAGATTTTTCATCTTCACAGTTCTGTCATTTGTGGATGTCTGTATGCAGCAGAGCCACACAGAGTGGAAATGCAGATACTTGCATTACAAGAGCATTAGTACTTGCCACTACATAATTGACTTTATAAGAAACAATCTATTTTAGACATACATTCTTAAGATCAATACCTCCTTGTCTTCTTACCCTTATATCCATTTTCTTTATGTGTTTTGTTTGAATTCATTAACATTGTTGATGGAAATCCGCTTATATTTGGATACATATGCATTCCAGTACCTACATGTCATTTTTAGGATATGTAACTTGTGTGCACAGACGGGCATGCAGTCAGTGGAGCCTAGAAAGCTTCTACTCACCTCATCCTGAAGACCCGACACTGAACCTAAAGATTATATAGCTATAAAGATCCATTCTGTACAATGGACAAAATGCTCCTAGGTGATAATATATTCTGAAATGTTATTATAGGGATTGTGCATGGTGTTTTAAAGCAGTAATTTATTACAATTTTAAATCTGTGTAGTCTGTATATTTGTTTACTTTGCAGATAAACCCAAAGTATTTCCAACTTTGGGTTTGCTAACACTGATACATTGCTGCATTAGGATTTAAATTTAATCTTCTTTAGGAAATTATATCAGATATGGATGCCCGTGTGTTAGAAGAATGCCTTGCTGTAGAACGCTTGCTTTTCAAAGAGCAGGAAAAATGCAGAAATGAGTTATCCACACTTACACATCTGACTTGGCTCAGAGCTGATGAGAGGCAACTGAAATGCAGGAATGTTCAGAAAGCCAAGGTAAAAAATTATATATTTGGAAGATTGTTCAAAACTAGAAGCTGGTATAGGGAGAAATTAAATAACTAATGAGGGGAGCCCTGTGGACTCATTTCCCACTCTAGCTTTGAAGTTCCATCAGAACACTGGAAACTCACAATACTGTGGTGCTTTACTGGCAATTTGTGGTGCAGTGCAGTATGTTAAAATACAACTGAAACAATAATAATTGAAAATATAATTGAATAATTGAAACAAGGTATTTGAAAGGACATTTAATGAGTGCCCAAAGGAGGGCAATGAAGATGGTGAAGGGCCTCAAGGGGAAGCTGGGTGAGGAGCAGCTGAGGGCACTTGGTCTGTTCAGCCTGGAGGAGACCGAGGGGAGACCTCACTGCGGTTACACCTTCCTTGTGAGGGGAGGAGGAGGGACAGGCATTGATCTCCTCTGTGGTGACCAGTGACAGGATCTGAGGGAGTGGCCTGAAGTTGTTTGGCAGTGGTCACAGCACCAGCCTGACAGAGTTCAAGCATTTGGATAATGCTCTTGGGCTAATGGTGTAACTCTTGGGAATGGTGCTGTGCAAGGCCAGGAGTTGGTCTTGGTGCTGGTGGCTTCCTTCCAACTCAGCACATTCTGTGATTCTGAGATTCTGTGATTTGCTTTCAAGTCCATGGGATAAAATGACCAATTTGAAAGAAAGAGGCAGAATAGCAGACAACGTCACCTGAGATTATCAGAAGTAAAACTGTGTGGTTTATTTTACAAATATATGAACATTAGAAGATAAATTGAACTACTACTCATTCCAAAGCGAGGGAGAAATTTCTATTTTCCTGTTACATTTCAAGGCATAAATAATTATATTGATTTAGAGAAAGAGGGAAAGAAAACTTTTCCTATGACTAGCCATTATATTTGCTGCCTGCATTTTTCTGGCATGATGTGTGCTGTGATGTTGGACAGAATTTACTAAACAAATTGCTACATGGGAATAAGATATTGATGTTTCCAAAATATATGTATGTCTTCAGATAAATTAGATAAGCTACCCTTCTACCACGGTGGGAAACTCTGTCTATAAAAATAAACAAACATGTCAGGCTTTGTACCTGTATCAATAAAATCAGTCCATAAACAAATATGGACAAATAAAACAAAATAATACAAATTCAGGAACACATAGACAAACCCATAGTTGCAACCCATCATCCACCAGCTTTCCCTATGACAAATTTCCTCCTCCTGATACCAGTGGGAGGAGAGAAAAGGTCTGTTGATTTAAGATTGATGGCCCAGGCTATTGAGGACTCAACACAACTACAATTGAAAGATCCAGAAACTTAACAGAATGCAATTCTGCTCAAACATCAGTGATTGCTTAAAAGTCAGAACTGAGTGAAAAAGAAATTTCATTTGTAAAGGTAAAGTTTCAATGGTTCATATACCAAATAATTATATAGCAGTGCACTGCACAGGCTGATCAGTAGAAATGGTGGAACTCCAGATAGAGGGAACCAAGCATTTAAGATGCAGCATCAAATTATCTACATTACTAATAGTAATTGTAAGCTTAACATAAATGGAAAAACTGTGGTTTTTTATGTTGTCGTAGTAAAAACTTTTCAATTATAAGAAAATGTTCTCTATAATAATAACCCCCCTCACTGTCTTTTTCTCATCTAAGACTTGTTCTGGGTAATTTTATTGAAGACATTTCTCTAATATATCTAAAGTGCTTACTAAAATTTATTTGAATTTCAGATTCAACTCCAAAGTCTTGTTAAGGAACTAAAAAGAAAGGATCGTGAACTAATCACCTGTAAAAAGATGAAAAAAGAAGTCCAAAAAGAGTAAGAAAATTATAACAATACATTATCTAAAAAAAGTCTTCTAAAGGAACTTTCATCCAAGTAATGTATGCATAAAATGCTAATAATTATTTCTTTCACACATTTCATTTCTTCAGACTCCAAGAATTGGCTAGGATGTGTGATCTTATGCAAATTGAAAAGGATAAATGCATACAGTTGATGCGTATTGCTCAGTGGAAAGCAAAGGAAGCTGAAAACCGGGTAAAATTGCTAGAAAATAATATAGAAAATTTAAGGAATGCCGTTATAACCAGGGAAAGGTGAGTTTAAAGTACACTGTAGTTCACATTTATAGAAATTTAAGACTGGAAAAAATCTTAGGAGGGAATCTATTCCATCTTCAATTATGCCCATATCATCCTTGATAGTTATTATCCTGATTTTTAAAATCTGACTGAAACAAAGGCATTTAGAAACACCCCTTCATAATCTGTTCCAACTTCTTATCCCACTAACACTCCACAAGTAGCTTGGACATTACTGCTTCTCTAAGTTTGTCTCACTACTCTCTCACTTTCCCATCCTTTATCCCACAGTTCTTGGATCTCTCAGGTTTTGTATTTTCATGCTGTTTGATTCAATATGAGGAGCGCTGTTGCACTCATATTTGTTGTCCTTAAAGAAAAAGAGATCTGACACATATGACTTGCCAATGAAGTGGTGCATGGGACTATTAAATGAGTCACTAGATAGGAATGTGGCTAATTATGAAATTAGAACAAATTGGGGATTTTGGTTAATAACTCACACTGAAATTTATTAGATAAATAAAATGTGGTTTCAATTCCCAAACAATCTTAGACAAAATTAAAGGTTACATTCACAGGTAAGATAATGAGGGAGAATAGCTGGTGCTTGTGACTCTCTTTTCCTAGACCATTTAGTGGGAATATCTTTTTGCCGTATTTTTGTCATCCTAGTGGTGAAATTCTGCAATGTAAACAGCATTACAATGTCTTGGAAATCTGTACTTGGGCAAGTAGGGAGATAGTGAATAGCTAACTGTGTAAGCAAAACAGGAAAACCAAAATTGAATAGTTAAAAATAACTTGATTTTCCCAAAACTTCATTATTTGGTGCCAAAAAATTGCTCAATCAGACAAATACACTAAATATTTTTTTTGTGAATATCCTGGTAGTTTGGTTTCAAAGTCATGCTAGTGATAGCTAAAAAAGAAGGAGAACTTCAGTGATTGAAGTGATTTTGTCAAGCTGTACAAGCTGATACTTTGTGGTAAAATTTTTGAGGCTTTCCCAGTTGATGAAAGAAGGGGAAAAAAGGCTAATAAAACGTAAATTTTGTACAGATATCAGAAATACACAAATATTATTATTCATCTCCCTCCTTGGTACAGATCCAAGAGATATTTTGGGCTCTGCAAAACTAGATTTAAAACTAGTCAGAAGTATTGAATTTTCAGTAACACACTTGCCTATGAAAAATATTTTTAATCCCAGTAATAGACTTTATTATCAGTACCACTGATTTCACTGCAACCTATGCAATTTGGACGACAGAGTATCAGTACAAGTAAGGCAAGAAATTTTCTGAAAATATTTAAAAGACATTGCATTTCTGCAATACTATTATACTTTCAGTCTGAAACTTGACTACAGAAGTTTAATTAAATTCAGTAATACCCTGTGGTACTCAAAGTGTTATACATGTCAGGAAAATGAAAGAAAGCAGCTCCCTGCCCTCTATACAGCAAATCAGCAATTTAATGATGGAGCCCATGAGGGAAGGATATTTCATCTGCAGGTCTGTATTTTAACAGGAGACTTTGCTTCTCCTTTCACTACCTCTTTTGTATGTTGACATGAATATCTTCCTGGTGTAGATAAAGTTGTGTTTCAATCCAGAAGTGATACCACAGATCAAATGCAATAACTCTAAATTCTGTGTTGTGAGATAGTAAATAGTTCATTTGGTGACAAGAATCTGTCTTTTAAATGAGGGACCATCATCCAGTGATCAACAAGGATGCTGGAAATAAAGAGATTCGTTCTTTATTTTTATGTCATCTTGTCACTAACCTCTTACTATGTTTTTTTTGTTTTTTCTCATCTGTCAAAGAGCAATCAAATAATTTTCTTTCTTGTGTTAATGTTGTGACACATTGTTTTATAAACAATAGATTTGGAGAACTTTGAATTGCAATCACAAAATAATTTCAATATTGTTATTTTAAAAAAATGGCAGAATTTCTACACATTAAGACTTTTCATCACAGTTTATGCCTATGCTCTTAAACATTGTATTTTATGACTACTTGGGCTACCTAGTAGCAAATAAAGGAGTTGTAATGCAGCGCTCCCTATTTAGCATTTTTCTTGAGCCAGAATCTAGATCGTTTCAAGCTGGAAAGAACTAGCAAAAGAACCCTGCTCTCAGAGAGTCTTTTTTCTTTGTGTAAAGCCTCTGTGAAGCAGAGATATAGAGGAGCCCTGTGTGCTTGAGCAATAAATTTAGACTCTGCTTTTAATTGCTGAAATTGGTTTCAAATTAAAAGGACTAAAAATATTCCCACATTTCTGTTATGTTAAAGAAAATTGCAGGAAGAGTATCTGAAGATTAAAAAGAATGAGAGAATGAAAGAATTGATCAAAAAGGATTATTGCAAAGTTGTACAAGAGATACTAGAGAGTAAAGAAAAGGAAAAGTATCTGAATGTTGACAGACTTACTACTGAAGCCACACACATGGAAGAGGAAATTTTGCAGATACGCAAAAAATATGAAAGGACTGTTCAGCAACAAAATGAGAGGTACACTTGCAAATTTGATCTAAGGTAGTGTTTAATTTTGACATTCATGAAGCAACAATATTTTTCAGCTTATGAGCACTCCTCAGGATTGCTAAAGGTCTGTGGCACTGCAGTGTTTCACTGACCAATCCCCCCCATTGCACTGTCAGCATTGCTTTGCATTATGTGGATGTTTCTCCACTGGTGATCATGGTCATGCTTCAGAATTATTATTCAAAAAATATGGTAGCTTGGCTACTGAATGCCTTGAGAACTTGTAGCCTCCTGCTCTGTTTGTGCATTGTGTACCGATAAGGTATCTGCAAAAATGCAGATAATCTAGATCTCTCTGATCTTAATCCAGTTTTAAATGCTGTGGAAGGCCAGAAGACCTTAAAAATTATGTGAGAGACAAGAGTCACTATTCCAAGAGTTTGTTTTCTGATTTTCACATTATAATTATTTTGTTACTTATTTAAAATTCTGACATTAAAATAATGAAAATTTCCAGTTTGTGAAAACTTCATACATTTTCACAGATTATTAATATTTTAAGATAACTTTTTTATGTTCTTGAATGGAATATACTGAATATGACTAATTTTCTTTAAAGTTATCTTTAAATTTTGACTTTATTTCAGTAGTCTTCTGCTTAGAGAACGAGAAGAAGAACTAGGCTTTTTGTATGAAAAAGTAAACAGGCAAGAGATGTTGTGTAAAAATGGAGATAGTAAGATGCAAGTTATGGATGAAAAGATCAGTTTTCTGAAGCTGAAGGTAGCTGAGAAAAAAAGAGAGGTTAAATTGTGTTTTAAAGAGCTCACAGTGAAGAATGCCCTGGATGCCCATCTGATGAGACTTCGGATACAGGTTGGTGCTAAAGGAAGCCTTTTTTTACTATCATTCTGTATTTTAAAATTTAGAGTGATTTCATAGAAAAACAAATATCTGGATGTACAATGTTTATTAAAAAAGCAAGTTTAGTCTAGCAAAACATATATGAGTTTCTATGCTTATGTGTAACTGGCTCATGCTCTTTGTTTCATATGTGCCAAATGTTTCCTGGGTATGGAATTCCAGCTAACCCACCCCACAGCCTGAAATGTCAGTATGACTAAACTGGAGAATGGGAGTCATGGGGAAAAAATGGGACTGTAGATAAAATTTGTTAAAACTGTATTGATGGAGTAGGTGGAGGGGTGGGAGATACACTTAGACCATCAAATTTCTAAAATAGTACTTCAATTCACACTTGACCCAGAGTGTACCCTGGAAACTTTGCTGCCTACGATGACATAATCCACATATATTTTCTTTTGCACAAAAACAGTGTAAGTTTTAGTTCTAGTTACAAAATAGCATTTAACAGCTAACAAACTGAAGTGCTTGGGACATTCTTGCCTTGCTTTCTGAAATGGCTCATTTACTTTTGACCTTATCTCTAGATGGTAAATTTTTCCATACATACTCTGTTAGTGCCTGCACAAAATCATAAATTGGGGTGTACCATTGCCTTTCAAACTTGCATCAATGGGAGCTGCTTGCATTATTCTCTTCTGGCCTTTTGAAGAAATTGTATGCTCTGCTACAAGAATAAAACATAGTACATGTTTTAATACCTCATGCAAATCATGCCCCAAAGACCTTTACAGGGCCATCACAGATTTAAACTATTAACCCAGGCAGTATAAAAAACAAAACAAAACCAACCAACCAAACAAAAACTCCTTTATCAAGAGAAAGTTTCATGTTTTTCATGTGAAACTTAAAATCACTGTTAAAGGGAGGCTATTGTTGGAGGTGCTTTAAATCTTTTTGCAATGTTGACATAAAATTTAAAAGTAGGAAAACACAGAGTGATGTGATATTATGCATGCAGTAGTCTTAATAAATGTTCCCAAGTCAGGGTTTTTCCAGTGAACAATGGCAAATAATCACTTATCAACCTTTAAAATTTAACTAGATACTGTGATTACTGAATATTACATGGATCAAACTGGCTGTTAACTCGTTCATCTCCTTATGCTCCACCATTCTGGACTCTTACTCCCACTGCCAATAGGAATTAAGTCCAATGAGAAGCAGTTTCAAATTGCTTGGCTTTATCTCCATAATTTAAATAAAAACCATGAGCCCAAATCTGAATTCTGGTGTTGGTTACCAAATTCATACTGCTGGTTCTTGTACAGATTACAGAGACCCCATGTTGAAATCTGACTCAGCTTCTGTTCAGTTACCACTGTCACAGACTGTCTGGATTAGCCAGGCTGAATCCTGTACCTGTGCCTCTTCTGTCCTCCCCTTTTCCTACCCTTCCTGCCTCCTTCAGTCTTCATCAATACCAGACCTCTTTGAAGCAAGTGCTAGTAACATGCACTAGATATTTTCATTATTATCAATGAAAAAAACTAAAATCAGAAATATGTACAGACTGCAAAAACTGACCCATAATCTCAGCAGCTGTAGTGCTCATTGGGAAGGAGAAAAGCCCAGATCAGGGCTGTGTGCCAATTCAGCAAGATCAAACACTTCACCGGGGTCCCCTACATTCCACATGAGCTGCTTAATCATCAAAGTGATGTATGTTCCACTTGTATGCTTTTCATCAGAAGCTACCTATTTCCACAAAATATTGGTGAATAGTTAAGCTAAAAAAATACCATCATCTGAAGCAAGACCAGACCTCTTCTAAGCAAGTGCAAGTAACATGGACTAGGTAGGCTTGTTAACATCAAGGAAAAGATTTAAAAATAGAAATATTTACAGGCACTTCTTTACCCAAAAAGTACCTGGTGAGACTGTAAGGTGGTTTTCTCTGGGCATAAAACTATGTAACTTTTAATTGGGACTGCACATCAAGGGACTGTTCCTGCTGACTGAAATGACCCATAAAAACTAATCTACCTTCATGCATCAATGAGAAATACTTAGCATTAATCATTAATTAGTCCAACACGTAGACCTGCTGAGCTGTCATGGTGCTATAGATGGGACCTTCATGTGTTAGAGCTCAGGCAATGTACAAGGACTGTCAGTTTATTTGAGGAATTTGGCAACAACATTTGTCCAGGTTTTACTACATGAAAATCTCCAGACTACATCACCACATCATAGAATAACAGGACCAGTAGAGAGACAAAGAGTTTATCTAGGCAATCTGCTCCCACACCAGCACTGGATGACCTGTCATTCCTGAGAGGGCTAAACTGTGCTTTCAAGCCACCATTGAGAAACAAGTTTCCCCAAGCAAGCTATCCCAGTCTTTCCTTAACAGTGGAAAAACTTTCTTGAGCTTTAGCCTGGATCTTTCTTGCTGTGGTGTAAGAATATTGGTTTGCATTCTGTCCTCTAGGGACCTGACAAACAGGCCATTCTTTTCCTTTCTGCAACATTTCATGTTACAGGAAGGACGTTAATCATGTTCCTCTCCCATCCTTTTGCTAGGCTACACAACCTTGTTTCTTTCAATCAGCTCTTAGAGATTTTTCTTAGATCATTATTTTTCTGCATTTCTTTTATTTTTGGCAATATAGTCTTTATTTGTCTTGAAGTGCAGTGCCTGGTACCTGTGGCTGAGAGTGAAAGGATTTATTCAGGCATCTTGCAGGTTATCTTCCTGCTTACACATCCAGGTATGGTGGCACCGTTCTTGACACATGACATAGTGATTCATCTTCATGTCAATGTATGTAACAACCAGACCATTTTTAAAATAAAGGGCATCCAACCAGTTGATTTGATTCTGTGTTTGTACAGGCAATTTTTTCTGCTTATATGTAACAGCTTGCATTTTTTACTTAGTATTATCTTTTTGGTTCAGACCTTTTTTCAGACAAAGGTAATTTTGAATTTAAATCTTATCCAAAAAATACTTGCAGTCTCTCTGAGCTTAACCTCATTCTACTGATGAGGTACTTACTGCATATTTTAATCAAGAATGCATTTATTTTGCTTGTTTATGAGAATATAATATGAAATATTGAAGCTATATAAAAATGAAATTTGATTTGTCATCCATACACCTGTGAAATTATCATAGTAGACATTGATCTGGTTTGGCATGACTCAACACACTGTGGTGCCTGTTATCCCTGTCTTTTTCTCTTCTTGATGCCTACAAAGAAAACTTAATTATATGTTCCAGATTTATTCTTCAGAAAGTGAAGAATAGCTCCATTTGCATCCCCCCCCTTTTTTTAAAGTAGGTCTTGTATTTACCCTTTTTTAGTGCTGTACATACCTCACCTACCTTCTCTTGAGATTTCAAAAAAAGCACCCGATATCCACTTTTTCAGACCAGTTGCTTTATCTAGACATGTGTTCCCTCCTTCAACAATTCCACCCGACTGATTACAGTCCAATGTAGAAAAACCTCTCTTCTACAGTCTTTTCCTATCCCCTGTATCAAATCCACTCTAAGAAAGAAAGTATTTTTTTAAATTTTAAGACTTAGAATCTCATATAACTCAGATTGTTTTTTCCAAGGGAAACACTACAAATTAGTAAAAAAATAATGAAAGATGCCTGTAGTCATGTTACTTAAGCAGACACAGAATAGCATGGTTCTTTGTAAATGCACTTTGATACTTTTGGATTGGTTTGCATCTGATGGCTTCTGATCATACTACATTTAAAAGTAAGGCTATTATTTACATTTAACATTAAACTTTTTAATGGCTTTTGGACAGTGGTTTTGCTGTAATAGTCCTTCTCTAAATTAACTATTCAGTCCTGAAATATTTTCCTTGGTGAGCTGCCCCTAATCTCATTAAGATACCACTGCTTCCAACAAGGCATTTTCCCCTGAGTTAGTAGTTGAGAAATTTGGCCCCAGGTAGAAAAGAGCACTGGAAGCATAGCTGCATCCTTCTGTTTGTGCTGGCCCTGCTTTTACATTCTTTCATTCTGTGTATTTTTGGGCTTGAGTTTTAGCTATTTGTTAGCAAAATATAGCTTTCAGTACCTAGCTATGTTCAGAATCATGGTTTGCTGAGGAAATTGTTCATTACACTCATCTAAGGTTTTTACTTTAGCTGCTTTTAGACAAAGTGCACAGGAGTGAGTTGTGTAGTGATTTTTCACTAGGAAAAGGATTTAAGTGCTGGTTACAGTCTGGTAATGTTCCACCGCCACCTGAGAATATCTGTCAGTTTTCTCTTTTCTAGTTAAATATGACTTGTTAACTTCCAGTGACAAACCTCATCCTGGCAACATCTAAACATTTACTTTATATTTTGGTGACTGTTCATAACTTTGAGAGGCTGGGACCACTTATTTCCTTAATCAGTCATCACCTGCAGTGGATGGTTAACATTTACACTTGGGTAGTGTTATGTCAGTGCTAGCTCACTGACAGACAGCCAGGTGCACATCAGAGCACACAGCCCCACCACTGTCAGTCTTGCAAAAAAAATGGCCCTGGTCACTCCTTCAGTGAGTATTTACACTGAGCCTGGATGTCCCTCCAGCACATTCTGGGCAGCATTATTCCATGGGAAGGAAGGTCTCACATAGGAAAGGTCAGGGAACACCTGTCCCTGTGAGTCCCGAGGGTACCTCATTGTTCAGTGTCACCACTGAGTCACTTCAGGACACATGCCTGGGAATGTTAGTGTAGAAAACCTGGGTGTTTGTAGGGATGAAGCCTTCAGTACTAACCAGCAGGGAAGCAGGGTTTTCTATTGTATTCCTGAGGATAAAAAACAAAAAAGTATCCTGATGACCAAGAAACAGGTAGAAGTCAATTTCTGTCAAACATCCAGGTTTCCTCTGTCCCGCAACTGTCACAGTGCAGTTCTCTTTTAAAATAAAATCTTTAAATGGCTCATAATTTTATGTTATCTTCTCTCCTTCTCAGTAAAAGGAAACTTATCTGTTAAAGTCTCCAGACCAAGGTCTGGGGATGAGTTTGGTGGGAATAAATAACTGTTGAGGCTCTTTGTTTGCTAGTATTCCGAGTGCAGGGACAAGATTAAACAGCTGGAGGAAAACTATGGTGATGCCACAAATGAGAGCAGAAAGCAAGAAATGGGAGGGAAGGACCCATCTCCACCTGAGCTACTAAAAAGGATTGAACAGGTAATATCACTTCTCATATCACAAGCTATCCTGCTGTGCTTGACCTCTTTTAGAAAATGCAAATAGTGTCTTTTATTTTTAAAATAAACTTTCTGTGAGAGGAATCAAAATAATTATGATTGGCTATTGTGAACTCCAGCCTAGCATCTGCTTTCCAGGTCATCTGGACATGGGACATTTTGACTTCTTCCAGGAGAGGCTTGGGGGGGAGGAACTCTGTGAGGTACCCATGGCTCTGCAGCATCTTCTGCTGACTCCATTCACATCACTGGCACTTCAGTGCAGACCCACCTCACTAGGGGAAGGCACAGAAAAGGCAGCAGAGGGAGAGAAATGCAGAATAATAAACTGCTAACAAACAGGGTTGTCAGTCTTTGCTAACTGGCCATGAGCTGTTTCACCACTATTCAGGGGCTATGAGCAGGAAGCAGACCTGCCAGCCTCTTCACAAAATCTGCCTGAGTGACACAGAAGCAAACACTGCCCCTTGTCAGGGCTGGGCTCTACTGCTTTGCTTCCCTGCTGAACCAGGAGCCACCGAAGAGACCTTGGTGGAAGCAGCAGCCAGGCCAACAGCTGATACCTGACTGCAGCACAGCTGGTGACTGCCCTGAGAGACTTCAGAGGGAAGCATTAGGTCCAATGGAAAGCCAGTTTCAGAGTCCTTTGTATGGGGGAGAAGAAGGTAAAGGAACAGCTTTTTCTTATATAGTTTTGTCTGTTCCATTTATAGAAGTACAAAACTCCTCCCACTGTGTTCAGTGTTTGGAGGGGATTCACCAAGGGCTCTGAAGGTGTGAGGGCAGTAGCAGCAAGCTCTGAGCTTGCTTGACACCTCTGAGTCCTTCTTTTGAAATCCAGTTTGTAAAGACAGACCCTGAACACAGCTGCTTGAATTACCTCAGCTTTTTGCTTTACTGTCCCATATTCCTTGACAGGAGGGAGCTCTGCATAGCTGAGCAGGCCACAACACAGCCTGCTATCACCAGCCTACACATTAAGAAGAAGGTTTTCTTGGAGTCATGATAAGTTTAAATGTCTATTTCAATCTCCTTGGGATTTAAGGATGTAATTTGTTTATGGAGCCTATACTTTTTTTAGCATGAGGAGGGGAAAAGTATTTAAAACAAGAGCTGAAACTTTCCATTATGGTGTGAGTCAAGGAACCAGAAGATTAAAAAGAAATTATGACTAGAAAAAAGCCCCATTGCTTTCAAGAAATGCACAGAAAGACAGTAACAATGATGTAACCCCTGCTCCCAAAAGAGCCTAGTCTGACATGAAAGAATTGTACAACTGACAGTAACCAACTGAATCAATCTGTCCCTGATCCTTGGCAGAGAGGGTGTAAATTTTGAGAAATCTGATAGTGAAGGTGTTTATGACTGTTCACTGGTATTATTTCAGCAGCTCAAGGCAATCACGGAACACTTTGTGCACCTTCCCGTGTCCTTTCCTTACACTGTGTCCTTCTTGCTGCAGATGGAGGCAGAGCTGCTGCAGAAGGAGCAGAGACTGCTGAAGATAGAATTTCTCTTTGAGAACATTTCTGATCTGACGGACAGAATCCATGCTGTGGTGGAGAACAGCAAGCAGGACATGCTGCTTTTTGCTAGGAGGGTAAGAAGGGCACAGCATGCTCCGCTTGCCAGCCTATACACAATGAAACAGTATCTGGGCAAGAGGTGATTCACTTGCAAATTACAAAAGTGGCTGGAAATGTTGAGAGACAAATCATAAGTTAGTCTTCAGAAATTACAGACATGAATAGCAACAGTAATACAGTTAAACCAAAACTATTAGGCAAATATTCTCTTTTAAAAAGAAAGTTGCATCATAAATGGTACCTTTCACCAAAATATAGAATTAGTTCTTTCTGAAGTAGATGCTTAGAAACTTTGTAGGATCATCCTTTTGCAAATGTATTTAACAGCCTTTCCACAACAAACAGGTCAATGACTAAAAAGAAATAAGGGAAAAAATAAAGGAAGACCAGGTAAATTCTACTCCAACATACAAAAGGATGACTTTGGTATTTGGCTCAAAGTCCTTTTGTTGTTTAAATAGGGAGAATCACACAGGAAACATAATTTCCAATACAGTTTTTAAAATATAATTATAGTTATTTGCTTTTAACTGCAATATTGTTTGGGAAAGACCAAAAATGCTCCCTGCCCCCATATTCCTAATGAAAAAGTTACAAATTGAGCAGAGCTGAGGGGAAGACAGAAAAAAAAATGCTAAGTAGTTAATGTAAAACAAGGCCAGGGTAGAAATTTTTCTTAGATGTTAGGTTTGGCACACATGAAAGCCTAAAACAGTTTTTTATAATTAAACACACAGAGAAATATCATGGTTATTAACTGTGTTTGTGAAATGATGGCCATGGGCTAATAAACTACTGTAAGAACGGCACTGTGCCAGAAGCTGCATTCACAAGTGCTCTGGCTCTCCCAGTTCCAATTAGTCACTTAAAGAGTATTAAAGATTTTTGTTTTTTTTTAAATCATCTGCAGTGAGACTCAAGGATTTTAATCACATTCCTTTTCTGTTCGTCCCCCTTCCAAGGATCATGTCACAACCCAAAGCTCCTGCATCAGCATTATCACTCAATTATCTCATAGGAATTGGGCTTATTCCAGCTTTATTACAAAGTTAATTGTGTACAGACCCAAAAATAATTTGGATCCCAGGTGTTTGAGGGCTGGGGGAGTTTTGCTGTCCAGCTGAAAAGGACAAAAAGCAAAAACAAATGTGATTTTCTTTTCTTGTATTGGAGTAAATGTGACTTCTCTTGAGCAGCCAATTTTTTGTTCTAAATGATCACAAAAATTAAGTAATTTTCAAGAATTGAACTACTATTTAAAACCTTGTTAAATTGGACTTATTTTCATGTGCCTAATGATGACCCAAGTGTCATGCCCAGTGAGTGCCTAAAGGGAAGCTGTAACTACAATGCAGCTGTTTTGCATTCCAGAGCAATGACCTGCAGAGGAAGATAAATGACAAAACCCAGGAGATAAGGGCTCTTTTTGCAGAGTTATCCATGAAGCAAGAACTTGCTATTAAACTCCAGCAGGAAATCAGAGACAAAGAACAATTTGTGATGACTGCTTCATTGATGATAAGTCAAGGCCTTCCCCCTCCTAAAAAAGTAGAAAATAAACAGAAGATCCTGCACAATGAGAAGATGCAAAAAGCAGCAGCTGAAGCCAGAGCAAAAGTAAGTTTTTGTCATACATTACAAGAGCTCCAGGAGTCAGTGCAGATGATGGTACAGACAGAGACAACTACTACAATAGGTTTGTGGAGTTTTAACTCTAGTCTGGCAACACTGCTTGGAGCTAGTAATTGAATCTTAGCGAGATCATATACTAAAAACCTCACCTTTGATTATTAAAGTAGTTTGTGTAACCATGTTGTGGCTGAAGGACAGGGCAGCCATCAGTGGAACACTGCTTTTCATTGGATTTCAAGGTAATGATGCAAAAGGTGGAGCGTGGGGTTCAAGAGAAATACGTTTAGTGTCTCCAACATACAAGATGCAATGAGCATTAGATCAGAAGCAGCAAAAAAATCAGATTGCTGAGCAAGACATTGAGGGTAGGCAGGGCAGCATGGCAACCAGCACTTGAAACCCCACCCTGCTGGACACTGCTTCTGTCCTTGAGATGGTCAGTGATCCCAGACCAGAGAGCTCCTACATAATAATAATAGTTTAGAATAAGAAACTTCTACCATGAAACTTCTCATGCTGGCAGTTAAGTTGCCTTTCAGTGCTGTGGATAAAGGCCCACTCTAGTAACTGTACTCAGGAACAGAATTGTTCCACAGATGTTCTGTGCACAGTTATTACATCTTTTAAAAGTTCATCTAATCTGTTTTCTTGACAAATAATAAAAGCATAACAAGCTCAAACTGTCTACTATTTAAAAGGACAAACTTACATCTATGTGGTCAAACCTCTTGCTTTCCTTTTAATACCCCTTCCCCTTTCCCAGCTCGCCAGGGATTAGGGTAATGGTGTTTCAGATGTCATGGATTCTGTACACTGGCTCGGGAGAGCACTGGAGTTTTAAAGCACACAACCCCTGTGTGACCGAGCTGTGTTTCTCTGACAGCACCCTGCAGAGGAGGAACAAGGTGCAGTGCCTGGCCATGCCCCCACTATCCCTGAGGAGGAGGAGGAGAGGCTCCCACTGTTGCAGCCCCATGTGGTTCCCTTCAGACCAACTGAGCCCAGCTCGAGTCAAAGACATTTCAAAAAGCCTCCTGCAAAGTCATTTGAAATGTGAACAGACAGCACCTAAAGCAGGAGAGACCATTACCAGCTGCTGGGTCACAAGGGTCAGCAGCATTTACACTGCACTGAAGGAAGATCTGTTGGTGTTCAGCCAAATTCCATACGGGAAGCTAAGTATTTGTTCATGACAAAAGCACAGCACAGCTAACTAGTCAGTGATCCAGAATCCTTTCTCCTGGAATCCCAAATGCAGTTCAGCATTTCCAAGTGTCAAGAAAAGTGAGTGATCCTCATGCTATATTTTTTTTTTTTTTCCAGGTGAAGTTTTATTGCATCTGAAGGTATGTTATGATACATTCATTAAAAAGAAAGGCTAGAAAATCTTCTCCTGTTATTAATATAATACAAAGTGGCCATCACTTAAACACACACACACATCAACATGGCTTTCTGCGGTCTGGGACTGGAGTCCCGGACAGAAATTCTTGACAGAGAAATTCTAATTATATTAAGACAAATATTCCTTCTCACTATGCAGTCACTGAGAATGCTAAAGCTTCACTGATGGCAATGACAAGGGGGTGACCATGAACTTGCCACATCACTCCCAGGAACTGGATCTTTTTATTTCATTTATAAGGAACAAGGGAGCATCAATGGAAACTACTCAGAGAGAATATCAGAGGTTGTTTTGAAAACCTCCCAAATATATCGAATTTTGATGAGTTTCTCTAGTTTAATAGTCTGGAATTTTGTAGAGTTTTTTAAAATCCAATAAAGGCTGCAGAAATCCTGCATGGAACAACTTGGGAATTTTCTCTGTGTAGCAAAATGCTATTGCCATTTTAAATTAATATCACAGTTCAGAACTTAAAAGAGCAAACAATATTGGCTCAGTTACATACAAACAGAAATTGAAAACAAAGGAAAAACAGCCTGCCTAATTTCTTTCTGAAGCTGGAATTTGAACTGTAACACTAGAAGTTGTTAGAAAGAATTATGTAAAACTCTGTCCAAGCCACTGTTAAGATCAATTTCTAAAACTTTTTTCTTATCCTATATTACTTACAACATATTATACACATCTTTATAAAACAACAAAAAACTCTACAAACAAAGCCCCAACAAAATCTGTCACATGCACTTTAAGCAGATTATATTTTGTGCTAATAACAAAACTGAAAATATTAGAATGCAGCTTCAGAAGCAGAAGTACCATAAGATAACTGATACCACCACAAGGAATGAATACCTCTTTACTCATGCCTGACATAAAAAGTAATTTGTTATTCTTACCTGCTTTACACAATCACACCTAGAAATCCTTTCATTAATCCAAGTAAACAGTTACTGGTTATTGTTACTGTACAACTGGACAGCCTCTTCCAGCATTGTCTTGTTAAAAGAAGTGACATTTATACTGATTTTCACAGCATGTTTTGACACCCACTGTTGTTCCACTTCCTTGACCACTTCAAAATGAACCCACAGACATATTTCAAACCTGGAGTTATGTCAAATGCATTTCTCTAGGATTTATCTAGAAGTCAATAATTTCAACCTCAGTCTGTTGAGCCAAACACTGTTTTGAGTAGCTCATGTCAGTACTGGTGACTACCCAACATTGCAAGTTACTTGAGAAGCAACACTGCATTTAAACATTTTTACAGAGGCACCACAGTTTGACAGCCTTCTTCAACAGCATGTTATTTCAGGAATATTTGAGACCCAGGAGTGTCATAGTGTGCTTGAGTGCTGTTTCCTCTACAAATCTTGCATTTACATGGTCTCGTTTCTCATATGGATGCACACCTAGAAAAACCACAGTGAAGAAGGATTTACAAAATTGTACATGTATACTTATATCCTGCAGTGTATTAAACATCTTCATCTGCAGTACCAAAAGATAAGGGGTAACAGAAATGCGTTTTCATGCACTCACCAGCTTCCAGTGGTGCCCTTTGGATGCTAATCTGTGCCAAAAACTGTCCTATTAGTGGAATGTATGATAACCCACACGGAAGGAAGCCTCTCTGGAAGCTGGACTTTCAAACTGGATATCCAAATCCAGCTTGAAGCAGAGTGGCTGTGTTAGTGCTAGTGTACAAAATGGCCCAGGGCACATGCTCATATACAGCTACATGTATATATGCTTTTTCCTCCCCAAATGGGAAGATACCCATACATGGAGACTCTTGGCCACTGACACTTTCCATCAGCAGAAAGACAACCTATGTGTTCAGACATCATTGGAGTTTTAATAACTCAGTAATGTCAGTATAGGCAGGATACATTTGAGTGAGCATCAAAGGGTAACAATCACTGGTTTTCCAAAGTACAGAATTAACATTACCTTGATTCTCTATCTCTGCCAGCATATTAGTCAGGTAGTTCAGTGGCAAAAACTCCACGGGGATGGAGAGTCTCTCAGGGATAGGCCTGCTGCACTGTAAGGGAAAACATTTCACATTAGTTCACAAAGTCGCACAGCCACACCAATGTTTCAATGTTTCTTTAGTGTGTTATAGTCCACAGAAAGCTCAGGAATCTCAACACTGTCAAAGCATCAGATTTTAGAACATAGCCTCTGTGCTCTTACCTGTCTGTTTCCCAGCTTCTCAAGCAAAAGTTTCACATATTTCCGTGCTATTAAGTTTGCATTTATCGGATGATTCCAGTACTGGCAGACCTTTTGACCAAGATCCTAGTAAGCAAAAAACAAACCCCAAAACCTGAGAACATAAACATGGGACAGTGGAGACTCAGAAAGAGAAAAAGGGAGAAAAAGCTGACACAAAATCCAGGCTGTAATGCAGATATGCTTTGCTTTCAGACCTTGATGACAGAGGCTAAAAGGTCATAATATTTAGCCATGGAGCCTTCCTTTCATAGCCAGTAACTAAGAGATCACAATGTGCTCTCAAAATGTGGGAAATCAAAACCTCGTCACTCAGTTCTCACCTCAGCCAGTCTGTCCCAGGGCCACTGTCCCAACTCGACAAGTGTACTTAAGTACTAATTGAACCCTTATCCTTTACTGTGACTGATTTGACTCTATTCTTTCTCCAAAGAATAATGTAGATGCCCAATTCCTCAAAGCTCCTTCAGGATAGGGGTTCTCAGTCTCTGTCTTAAGGAACCTTAGACATACAGCATGCTGGCAAGGAAAGATAGTGGGAATGTAAGTTTGGATCCCATTATTCAGGTCATCATCCTGGAAACTGATTAACATTGACTCACATTCCCAGAGCCAAAAGAGATTCACAACCAGGTTTCTCAAAGCTTCCAATCCCAACCAGTTAGCAAAAGAACAGGTACATACTATGAAAGTAGCTCCACCTTCTGCTATTTTCCCTTTGTAGATCTTCCCTCACCCCTCCTCTTCAGCTGTACTGCAATGAAGACAGCTGTTCATTTTAGTAAATGCTGTACAGTTTAATGGTGCTTAAATCCTTGCTTCTGATTAAACTGAAGTCATCCACTGCATATAACCTGCTTAAAATAGTCTGAGTCACCCCAAAGTGACCTTTATGGCAAACAGACTATTCCCAGCATTTTTTCCCAAAGCTGTAAATAGATACAATAAAGCACTGAGTCTACTGTGCATAGCTAGCAGTAGTTGTTCCCTAAATCTCTCCCAGCTCAACCATTCACGTCAGAGTGTGTTTGGAATGGAGTTCCCCACGCATCAGGCCCAGGCTGGCAACTCAGGGGCCCTATGTTGACCCCAGCTCACCAGCCCTGGCCAAAAACCAGACACAGAGGACAAAGAACATCCTATGGAGTTCTCCTCCTCTACCCCTTCTCAAAACTGCTGCCTAATAAATAAGCCTTTGTTGGAGGAAAACCCAAGCAGCACTTCTGGCCATTTGAACTATAAGTGACAGCACATAACAAGCAAACAATGGGCAACTCATGTGGAAAAAAGCCTGTTCTGCAGTGAGGCATTCCCCGAGGGGGATCCCTGGGGTTCCTCCACTTCTTGGCATCTTGTGCTTCCCCTGAAGTCCTGTGCTGTTCACTAAGAGCAAAAGGGGAGAAGTGCATCTCCCATTCTGCTGGAAGGTTTTATGCAGGACCAGTAACCTCTTGTGGCCACACAAATCACCTTGTCAGTGGGTGAGACTGTGAGGTTTAACTGAGGGGAGATGTTGTAATTCCTCCCTGTCACAAAGCTGTGGTATGATATGACTTTACAGCTTTTACTGTACCAGCTTTTGAACATATTTTTGAAGTGTACAGAACCAAACACATAGGTCAAAAGTGAGAAAGACTCTATGGATGCTAAAAACCCCCATAAACCCCCTTTAAACCCTCATTGCCTTATGCAAATGAGTACTCAGAAGAACAGTGCCAGTCTTGTTAACTTCTGTAGAATATTGGAGACTGTAAAACACTATGGACAAATCTATAATTTAAGTTATTAGGGTATCCTACAGTCCAGAAGCAGCAGATGGAGAAACTGTGGATGCTCTGGTTATATTTGACTCAGGCTCTATCTGAATGACAGCCATGTCCTTCACTGGTTTAACCCTATGCACAAGGAGGAATCTCCTATCAATTCCAAAATCCAAGACATTGCATCTAAAGCCATTAGTTACCTCTGGAAGCCTCATGACAATACTAAACTTCAGCTTTTCATTCTGTTCAGTGTCATCCAGATCTATAAGCAACAGGGGAAAAAGCAAATCAAACAAACAGCAATCACATAACAAACTTTCAACTTTCACTAAAGACATTCTAAATAAACATCACCTCCTTAGTGAAATGAAAATTTCAACTTAAAGTTCAAGCTATTATTTGCATTATACTACATTAATAAGGACTGTTATTTACATTTATATCATGTACAAATATATTTCTGTATATTTGTTCATAACTTCACCATTATATATTTATACAGTAATTCAAATGTACTTTGACTAAGTACAGCTCTCCAAGTTTATAATATTTCATTTATCAAGATCAGGCACAGATTGATATTTTGTTGTTGAGCATATTTTGTTGTCCCTTTTCTTAGACAATGGAGAAGTAGCACATCAGTGGGCACAGCTGGCTCACGTTCAGCCACCACTGACCAGCACTCCCTGAGCAGCTTTGCAGCCACTCTGCCCCAGCTTGTGCTGCTGTCTGGGGTTGTTGTGACCAAAGGACA